TTTTTGTTTTTTTTTTTTTGTGGGGGGGGGGGGGTCTGGGCAACCTGGGGGCAGGGGAATCTTTTATATGCATCTTTTGACTTAAAAACAATATCATCCCTGTACTTGTTCCTAGTCAAAATGGAGCACCACAAAACAATGACTCATTGGGCATTTAGATTTTTAAATTCAAACCATCTAGCCAAACTTTTATATAATGTTATCCTACATTCCTAGTGCATTTCTACTTTCATGTTTTAAGTGTGTTTGGATAAGACTAAGCGATACCTGAGTTCTAAAGAGATTATCACCAAGTAATCAGAAAATTAGTGTTATATGACAGCAAAATATTCATCAGACCAGAGTGAGATTTAGATGACGAAGAACAAAATTATAGCACAATTCAAGCACATCTATTAAAAGAATCAACATTAGAGCATAGGAAAAACCTTTGTTGTGCGAATACATAAGTGTATTGTCCCTTACGTCTCTTTCTTATTTATACTGTAAGAATGGGTTGTGTACAGCATGTTAGTAAAAATGCAGTAAAAGTTAGTAAAGTAGTATTATGATATATAGCTACTAAGTCAACAGGGATACTGTACAGCAATTAGCTGTTACTTGTCGGGGACCAAAAATCAGGTAATTAGCAGTATCTATGTAAAAAGACTTTGGATTGTTATGTTCTTCTCTTAAACTGGTTTTATTGTTTGGGATTTTATTTAGGTTGATAGGCTGTAGAGTTCTGTTTCCCCAGTTGTGACTAATCCAATATAAGATGTCATGTATTCATCCATCAATGTATGAGTGAACGAAGACACTATATCTATGGAAACTGAAGCAATCAGACATGTTATGAAAGTTATTTTGAGTTGTGAACATGACATATATTTCTATTTTATTTGGCTATCATTTTTACATCTTTATCAAATGAAAAATATGTAATTACTATCGAGAATAATTGAACTTAATTGAAAAGATAAAATTAAAAACACAGCAGAAACTACTTTCATGCTAGAAGAATTGGAGGTCAACCAATGGTGAGGAAACAAAAGATAGAAAGGCACACACCCCATTTCCAAAAGCTGAGGAAGGACCTTCTGAAGATAGTGAGCTGAACTGGACCATCCTTTTACTCTAAGATTGACAATATTACTTATGTTATTGTCAAATCGTTGAAGTATGTCATCGGGGAGTTCTCGCACCACATGCACACGATTTCCAAGTGATTGTATGAAGAAATTTTCATCGAAAATGTCACCAAAATTGCTGCCAGATATTAAGGTGTAAATCATAAATTTTCAAATTTATAATACACAAACAATAGCACTAATTATTAGTATGGATTATAAAATGACCTTTCCATTAATTCCAATTGAACAAGACATATATACATGAAATGAAAATTCCATAGATTATTATACAACTTGAAGGACCCTATGTTCTACATATACAAAACTTAACCATGGTGCACTTCAAATGTATCTTAGAATTTGAGCTTATGGCACCTAACACAGTCCTACAAAACCATCTTGTAAGGTGAGAATTGCCCAAGCTTTATAAGCTTTATTTAAGTCATATCCCTAGTGATATGAGACTAAACAACCACCCATGAGATTATAAAGGCAGACCCCAAAGAGGTTGCAACTAAGGCAGGCTAGGGGTGACTGCAGTTAAGGCAGCTTTCCAATAGTGTCTCTTATGCACAAAAAGGAGTCAAGTCATTTATTCTATTCAAAAGTAGTTTCTTTAAATGCTCTAGATTTTAGAATAAGCCACTGGCAACTAATGTAATGGACTCTCAGTTCAATATTTGTAACTGTCAGTATGAGCTTGGCATCTGTACAGGTAAGTTTAAGATAATTTCTTAAGTTCAGAAGATTAGAGTGGTTTGCTGTTCCAAGTGAATGTGCTACCAACATTTTCAACATACATGGTACTAGAAATGTCAGAAAGTATGAGACCAAAACCAAACTGATTTCTGATGTGCTTATCTATTCCCATTTCCAAAATTTATCATTTTGTCTGCAGAGATAAATTATGGAGAATGGAGGTTATACACAAAAAGTAAGAAATTGTCCAATGTAGAAAACAGAAGCATGCTCTACATGGTACCTAACCTCAAAACTCATACAATAGTTAAAGATATGCCTTCAGCCCTTCACTAAGATGTGTGGTATTAGTTGTTTAGTTCCTTCCTATGCATAAATTACAATTTGTAAAATCAAAGCCCAATGCAAGGATTTCATCTAAAAAAATAAACACAAGATGATCTTCCATCCTCATCTGCCTTAATCCTTCTGAGCTGAGATCATATCTGACCTATCCAGCATGCCAGTCATATAAATGGTAGGCATAGAGAAAGTAGAAAAATGAAACATATCCAGTTTTCTGATTCAGACTCCTAGAATGAAAATGATACGGTTGGGGAAAAAAATGTTAGAGCTATAGCAATGAGATTTAACAGCCATTAAGGATGAATAATTATGCAACCACCATAATCATTAAAATTAAGTATAAATAGCAATTACCTTGAGTCTCTCCATACACTATTTAAATGAAATATAGGAATAAAAAGAGTTGCATTTAGAAGCCCAGCCACAGCAACTGCATCACATATCTGCATAAAGAGTAAAGAGAAGTATAATAAGTGCTAAAACAATAAGGACATGCAAAGTAAATAGCAATCTGCAGCGTCAATATCCTTCATCTAATTTCATTAACCATGTAATCCTGATAGCCTATCACCATACTTCCATTCAGAGAAAAATGAAACAAGAACAAACACCAAGAGAAAATATACACCAGCCTCATAAAGCCCTCTAGATATAAGTCATTAGGTATCCATTTTCGAAACAAATGATGGTTGTAGAAAATCGCCATTAACAGATTCCAATCCCTCCTCTCCTACCAACATGATTCAAGTTTCCATGCACCCATTCACAAGAGACTCAATTGCGTGTTTCATATACAGAATGGTGATTCCAAGTGATGAAAACGGAATGAAATTTCCATTTCCAGTGCAGTTTCATGCATGCAAGCTAAGTTTATCTAAATAGCATAAAAGCCCTCATGAGAAAAACAAAGTTCAATTTTTCTCATGTTTATTTTATATACGGTACCCAAAATGTACGTGAAAGAAGATTCTTGAGAGAACATTCAGGTTTATTTATTTGTTTACAATTACAACTCAAAAAAAAAAAAAAAAAAAAGACACTATTGTGCAGAAAAGAAGAGCAAGTGAGCAACAGTATTATTTGTGAGGAATGAAAAAATTAAGTGTGAAAAACAATATTTGTGACAAAAAATGAAGCATGAAAAGTCTTTTTTGTAAAATAGAAGGAGTTTTCTCATTTCTTAAGCATGAAATCCCAATCCCATTTCCCTATGAGGTAATGGTATTCCATGTTCAATTCACTGTTTATGGAATTAGGCCTAGAATTAAATTAATGTTACATGGAAAAAATAAATTCTGGATAGCAAGAATAGAAATCCCTCATTACACAGAATGGAATCACCATTTCTGTGTAGTGAACATGATGTAAGAAACCCAGATAAATAAAGCAGTGAAAATAAAATCTTTGGTCACATCAATAGGCATACCGATAAGCGTTGCTGATTCAATCCACCATTTGCTTCAATTATAAGGAACCCATTTGACTTTGGCAATTCTAAGGAAAAATAATATTAGAAAAATGACAGGAAAAAGTTAGCAATTTCCTCCAACAAAGACAACAAGTACACAAGATAAAAATAAATAAACAAGATTCTAGAACTAAAAGTGAACTTGAAAATAAATTGAATGTGAGAGATCCAACATGCCAAAGAAAAAAAAATGACAAAAAGAGGTAAAAAAAAAAAAATCTATTCAACAAGAAACTAAAACAAATTTTCAAAACTGCGCAATTTATCATCCAGAGAAGAAAATACCTGTTTCAGGAACACTTCTGTTAGCACAGGGCTTCCACTCTCTAAGCTCATTTCTAGGCCATGCTTTCATCAACTGCATGATTTCCATCTCAGATTCTCAGCCAATTAATTCGAATTAGGAAAACAGACAAGAGATTGTTCACCAACGAAAGCAGTACAAGTAGCCTTTTACTTTTACATACACCAACACTAAGAGTCATGGGAAGCAGTTGTTTTCAATTTCAAACATGGATTGAAGTAACACAAGACACTGAATGAAACTGATAGGCCACTGAAGGTTTATGTCAGAAAAAAATAAAATAAAAGGCAGTTATAATTTTGTATGTGACAGTTATTTAGTTTGAGGGCAGTTATTTTTTGTTATTATTAGGTAGTTATTTTTATTTACATGTGACAGTTATCTTTGTATATATAATCAGTTTTAGTAGAAAGGGGAGGCTCCTTGTTAGGGGAAACCCTGTGTTTGTGATTGTGTATTTTATTTTTTTTGGTGAAGTGTGATTCTGTATTTGAATCTGAGAATCTGACCTATAAACCAGATTACATTACTAATATAATAGTATAATGAAATATTTTGTGTGCTCAATTTATTGAGTCTCACACAAACTAGAAAGGAAAAAGAAAGATTGAGTACCACATTGACAGTTCCATTGGCATTGGCAGCCTCAGCCTCAGCCTCCATGAAAGGCAATAGCTTTTGGAAGAGCTGAGGACTCCTATAAACAGAACCGGGAGGAGCACGCTTGTGTACAACAACGACACCGTTCTTTATACTCACGACATCGAAGCTCAACGAACCCATATACAACAACATTCCCGAAATGTACAACAAAGGCGCAAAGAGAAGCAACCCTCGCCTCCTGAAAACCGCCGACATGAGAATAAACACCAACTTCTCCATGGAACTGCCCTCTTTCGTCGAACCCAACTTGTTGGTCTGATGCGAATTAATATTGCGGCATATAAGATTGTATGTCCCAAGTTGACATTGGAAGTTTTGATCTCATGAGTAATGGTCTTGCAATTAGTTTTAAACGTTTGATAAATGATTCTGCAAGTCCATTTTGTGTATGAACATGTGCTACCGGATGTTCAATATCAATTCCAATGGATATACAATACTCATTAAAAGCATGAGATGTGAATTCACCAGCATTATCCAAACAAATTTTCTTAATTGGATAATCAAGAAAATGAGCTCTTAATCTAATTAGTTGAACTAATAATCTCGCAAACGCCTGGTTGCGAGTTGATAATAAACAAACATGTGACCATCTTGTTGATGCATCAATTAAAACCATAAAATATCTAAATGGTCCACATGGGGGGTGTATTGGTCCACAAATATCACCTTGTATTCGTTCTAAAAATAAGATAGATTCATGCCCAATTTTTGCTGGTGATGGTCTAATTATTAACTTTCCTTGGGAACAAGCGGTACATGAAAAAATATTTGATTGAAGAATCTCCCGGCTCTTCAATAAATGTCCGCATGAATTTTCAATTATTTTTCGCATCATGATAGTCCCAGGATGACCCAATCGATCATGCCAAACCTCAAATTTATTTTGATTTGTAAACTTCTGGTTTACAATAATATTTGTTTCAACTGTATTAACATACGTGCAATACAGTCCATAAGAGAAA